TTTTTTTTTTCCTTCCCCTTTTAGGTCAGAGGCTGAGCCCCTTTAGGGAGATATAATAGAGGGTCTCTGTTAGCCACGGCAGAGACTCTGTTAATGTGGTAGAGGAGAGTGCTGTTACCACTGCCCATTTTCAACAAGGTACCCAATGATTTTAAAAACCAAGAGTTGGAGCCAGGAAGTAACCTTGGGGTTAAGGCTCTGGACTCTCACATGGTTGACTACAGTTTGAGTCCTGGACCCAGCAGCTTCAAACTCACTTTGGGCATGTGTGCATGCATGACCACAATCCCGAGAGGAGAATGGAGGAGATGGGGTTATGATGTGGCTATCTGGCCTGGGGAGTGATTTCTCACTTTCTGTCTCTCAGTCTCTGTCTCTCCAGCAAGTGCACGTGCCCTATAGTAAAAATTATCTTTAAAAAAATAAAAAAGAACAAGTTATATCTGAATATTGCTATAGCATTGTTACTGCTAATTTAACAGGAAAAAAGTAATATATCATAGGATCTGTAGATTTTAGCCCTCATTCAACAAAGTAAGCATAGTGACTGTTTTCTCTGCATCTAGTAGAATAGAGGGTTTAATCCTGAGGGGTCTGAGATGTCAAGTGTTTAAGCCTTTCATCTTAGGAAGTCCACCAGGTAAGGAAATTCAAGTGATGTCATGACTGGCTTCAAAGAAAAACTATAAATATGATGATAACTTTATTTGGCATGATAATCTAACATTCACCAGGAAAACAAGATGTCACAAAATTCTGAAGCTTTGTCTTAACAAAGCTCATACTCAATAAAGATTACTTTCGTACATATAGGAAAGAATAATATCCTATAATAATTCTTGGAAAGCAAGTAAACATGCTTTTGACCCATAGTCTTTTGGCAATGGATCCATGGTGTTTTTCTATTGTGATACACACGTGTGCGTGTGCGTGTTTGTGTGACTATAGCTGGTGTTTTTGGCAGTTTATATTCATTTTGAGAGGGAAAGATAATGTATACTCTTACATCACTGGTTCTTAAACGGAGAATATCACTATTGGGAAAACATAAAATGAAGAGTAATCTTTTTTTTTTTAAAGATTTTTTTTGCCATAGGGTGCGTGCACTCGCGCGCGAGAGAGACTGAGAGAAATAGTGAGAGGGAAAGTGAGAAATCACTCCCCAGGGGGATTGGCCACACCAT